GAAGGTTGGTTAAAAAGAGACAAGCATCCTCTGGTCCTTGCTTTTCCCTCTCTTTGTCCGGCACTCATTAGAGTCTGGCCACAGGCATGAAAGGGAACAGCACAGGGCCATGCCTCTGCAAGGGGGCTCTGCATACCCATGCCTTGACATCCATTAATGCTCCATCTCTCCCTGCCTTGAGGTGGTGGTGATAGATGGCAAATCTGGCCTCCCTGTTTGGAACCAGGAACTTCCATGGCAGAGGCAACAGCTTGATGCACTCTCAGTCATGACTTTGGACAAGAAGTCTGTTTTTCTCTTCTGGGCTGATGAAACGCAGCCTGTGTTACGAAGTTTGGTGAGCATATATCTTTTCTTCACTTTGAAGTTTCTCTATGAAGCACATGCAGTCTCTGTCTTTTATTCCTGTTGTTATTGAACTTGAACCTAACGTATAAGAAGGCAGTCATCTCTTACTTTGACATTCTGACTTCTCTGAGCCTGAGCACAGGAGTTTTTGTGTGCAAATTCTTCATCGTAAAGCTTTGTTGACAGAAATTTTACATCCACAAACCCCAAAATTTGTGAAATTCATTTTTTCACGGAGCACTGAGGAGTTGTAACTGCAGATTTGTTTCCAGCCCAGGGTGCTCCTTCTGTCCATGCAGGCATACAGTTTGGCATGGAGACTCAAACTTCCAGACTGTAGCTTTGCCCATTAAGCTGCATGTAACAGAACTAGATTTCAACCTTACCAAAGAGAAGTTGTAGAGCAAATTCTGTTTGAGGGAGGAAAGGGTTTCAGGATTTAATCTTTGTAAAACCACATGTTTTCATTCTTTGATCCATGTAAAAACAACACAGTGTCAGAAAACTTTATTTTTTTGACAAAGCTGGACTGCCCTTTGCTAGCAGTTGTTATGTTTTTTGTCTTTCATTCCAACAGCAACCTGGTCCCAGACCTGAGCGCCCAGGCCTGCACCACCTCTATCTCCTCCATCCTGTTTTTCCTACAGTCCTTTTGGACCTCACCAATGCAACAGACAAGGTCATTGCTTCAGCAGGTGAGTACAAATGGAGGAAAAACTACCTAGGCCAGAAATATGGAGAGAGAAGTAGCTGTGAGAAACAATGGGCTGTAGTTGTGCCTTTAAAGGTAGCACCTAAGGTCCACCACACTTAGCACAACAATGAGAAATAAGATTCATCTTCCTTCTGAAGGGGCATCCTGTCCACCCCCTACTTTGCAAATAAAAGACCCACCAAGTTTCTTACCTGTTTAACCAATGACAGGTCTGAGTTTGATTTAATGCATGTTTTACACCAGAGAAGTTGTGTTGCTTTCCATGGAGCTATTTTTAATTTAATGCCTTGCATAAAAAATCACTATAAAACTTTTCTCTGTCACCTCAGATACACTTCTGCTTTTGTTGGCCATCTCCCAATCTTTGGGATAGGAGCTGTTCTAATTCTTCTTTATTTTTGTAAGGGGGAATCCAAAATATATTAAGTGTGTTTTCAGGGAAAAGTAGATCTGGATTTAACATCTATACAAGATTGTACAGTCCCTGTTTAATTTCCTTGCTCTTTCTAAAGCAGTTCAGCAAATAACCACCCTCTTGTGCATGGGAGTGTGGGATAAAAGATCAATTCATCCAGAACTAAGAGAAGTAGGCCAGGAAGCATAGAAAAACTGCTGCATAGTAATAACATCTAATTGGACTTGCATCAAAAACACAGTTCAGGCAAGAACAAATAGAATACTATTGTTACAGGGTTTTTTTTTAGAAACTAGGATTTCTGAGGTCTGTACAGATGATTCTGCAGTGACTGGAGTCACCTGACTTGCCAGTGTTTTACAAATTTCCAGTTATGTAGAGGTTAAGAATAGCTACTACAGGTGTGGGAAGGGAAAGCTGAGAGTGAACTGTATTCTTGAAATATGTTCATATCCTGTGTCAAGCCCGAAAGCATAACCTGGAATCAAACCCTTCCATTTCTGATCTATATTTCAGTTTCTTTCCATGGAAAAATGTTAAAATAATTTTCCCTTATCAACCAAGGTACATGGAATTGTAAAGTCAGACTGAATATACTATCAGTCTAGTGGATGTTTTGACTGAGTAAGGGCTGTAAGATTTCTTTTGGAAGAAACATAATCATTTCCTCCTCACCACTGTTTTCTTGCCCTTTTCTGATGGACCAGTTGGAATTAATGATCTCCAAAAGGATGCATTTCACATCACTGTGACAACAACTGCAACCTCTGAAAAACAGCCAGGATATCTCTCGGTCAGCAAGCTGGGCCTGAAGTGGGCCATGATGAGCCAAGGTCGAATGGTGTGGTTAAAGGACAGCAGGACTCCAAAAATCAGCCGTGGAGAAGTGAGGCGATTTCTTGCCCGGATGAAATTTGCTGACTTTCCTCAGAAGGTGAGATTGTCCAGGAATCCCTCATGAAATCCAGACCTTTGAAAACATTCGATCTCTTCTCTACATTCACAGTTAAGGTGCTCTTTGGGATGGAAAGAAAATGGTGGGATGCAAAATCACTGTTTGCAAGATGACTGGCTGCTCCTTTGGGCATGATGGACAGGTTGTGAAGCAAAGATGTACTTAGGCAGTTGAACATAGCACAGGATCTTAGAAAGAAATAGGGATGGTGATCATAAGAGACTGGGAGACTTACAGAGGGATCAGAGAGGTGGGACTGATATCACTTCTTTTGACATGGGCAAGCAAGGGTCCTCCATATAGTGGTGCCCAGGTTCTGTTGCTGACTTACAAATTACTACTTTGCCAGACTGGATGATAATAGATTTTGGCTTTAATGTTTGTTTGCCTTTCCTTCTTCAGCTCTAGCCTGGTGGTTCCTGAAATGTTGGTTGGACCTGTGGCCGGTATTGGGAATATAGGAAGCTGCTCTGTGTATCTTCAGGAAAATGGCGATACAGAGGGAACAGGGTCTAAAAGCACTTCCCCTTTCTTCAGCTGTCTGGGGAATGCTGCTGGAGGCAGGTTTGTCCTAGGCAGACCTGTTCTGTACCAGAGAAACCTTGTTCAGCAACTCCCTGTCCGTATGCTGTTCTTGCATGCTTCCTTCCAGGTAACACAGAAATGTGAATTTAGAGGTTATATACATATATATATATAAAATCAGGCTTTATATATATATGTGTTAATTTATACAATGTATGTATATTTTTGGTATGTTTAATTTATGGATGAGATTTAGGACACATCTTTTTATGTCCAAACAGTGTTCTCAAGCAGTCTAACAAGCTCTATGCCCAGAGTGGGCCATAATGAGTCAAGGCAAGTGGTGTGGCTGAAGGACCATTAATCTTTTTATTTTTGGAGAGAAGCCTCTGGCTCCTACAGGTTTAGTCTTATCTACGATTTCTCCTGTGCTCTCAGCTCTCTTGTCCATACTGTTGCCAGACTCACAAACAAGCTAGTTTTCTGGCTGAATTACCTGATCTAGAGAAAGATGGTCTCCACAGAATTTGCCAGCCCTTTGTACTTGTGTCTTTCTTTCCCAGTTCCAATTCAGGACACCAAGTTCAGGCATATGTGGGTGATGTAGAAGTGAAAGGTTCACAGCTTATTTCTCTCCATCCTTAAGGTTTGTATGAACCCACATTGTCACTGTAACATCACACTGCAGTCCAATGGGCAGTCTCCCTTTGCCAGTGTATCACAGCCCCCTTGGCATAAGAGGTCCAGCAGACCCCGACTGTCACTGTAAAGGTCACTCAGTCTTGTCACAGAAAAGCTGATTCTTATGTTGCTGCTCCAGGATTTAGAGGTTCAGTCAGAGATAGAACTAGAAAGCTTTTCTGTGCATTTTAACCCTATTCTGAGGTCAATATTGCCATTCCCTTGCCAGCCCAGCCCTGTGTGCAGCTCCAGGAGCAGCAAGCACATTTGTTCACAGTGTGTTAGGTGTGTCCCACTCTGTGTCCCAGAGTGTGCCATCATTCTCTGTTATCATTTGAGGAGCATCTGTATGAATTGTCTTGTAGTGGAAAAGACTATGTAAAAGTGAAACAATTTGGTGTCCCAGTAGTTCCCCATAGTTTAGAGTAACAATATAGGAACTCCTTTCCTAGTATGCCATTCTAAGCCTGGTCTTTGACATTAAAGAGAGCCAGGCTGAGGTGAGGATTGCAAAGGACCTTTCTGTCTAGCATGTGCCCTTCCGTCCTCCCCACATTTCCCCATGTGTTATGAGGTGACAGCATACTTTGACCCTCCTTCCAGATGGGCACATTAGCTATGGGTTTGCTCTCCTGGGCCCTTGACACCTCTCTTTGCTGTATCACCCTTTCCATCATCCCACATTTCTATGTAAAGCTTCCAGGATAGCCCTTCAGGTTTAGCTGCAAGCCCCAAGGCTGGTCTTTGGGCCCTGATCTCCTAATGTCAGAGCTGTGAACAGTTTGTATATGTTTAATGGTATTTTTGTGTAAATAGCTTTGTATATATTAGCACAACTGTAGCAATGGCTCTAGGCCTGGCATTTTCCTCCAGACAGGGTTTAGTGTTTATAATAGAGTTAGTGTCAGTTAATAGAGCTGCATAATAGGACTGAAAGTGTGAGGACCAGTAACGTATGAGGGATTAAACAGGAGTGCTCCTTCCCTCCTGTCCAGCCACCACCTTGCTGGGAAAGGTGAGTCGGCTGTTACCTAAGTAGTTACTTCTGAGATTCTTCCTGAGAGAACTGATACTCAAGAGCAGTGATGTTAGCTCCTCCTTAATGTGAATTCACCCTGCCCAAACCCCCCCCACCCCCACTGTGAATAAAGAGTCTGTCTGTATATTGTTGGAAAAATGTATTTGAACTGCAGTGAAACAAAATAAATACTGTGTACAGCGTCATGTGCCATGTGAACCAGTGTTTCACCTTTGAGAGATTATGAGTTTGCTTGGGGTTTTGATTCAGGGGTGGTTTGCAATATTTTTACAATGGACAACAAGGAGCAGATGAATAGAAGTGACATAAAAAGCAAAAGTCCTGCCAAAATCTTAATAGTTGTGAAGAACAATAAAAAGACACAGACAGCAAAGTACCTCAGAATGGGAAATTTTGGGCAAAAAGCATGAAAGGAACATGTGGGAGTCATTACAGATAGGAAAGAGGAGGAGAGAGATGTCTGAAAGCTACCGCTATTCTGCTTTGCAGCAGGACTTTTCATCTGGGAGCAGGGAGAAGAGTCTGGGCCTGGAAATTAAGAATAAACAGGGTGTTCAGAGAGGGTGGCAGATGATCAATATGAACACTGATGGCCTTCACCACAGCACTGAACTGGAGGTGTTGACAGAAGGTCAATGTGACACCACGCAGCAGTGCAGTTTGCCATCTGGATAGTGCTGACTATCTGTTCCCCAGTGCAATACTGGGGATTAGGACATCTGACTCAACTCTCAAAGTGCTTGGAGACAGCTCGCACCAGCATGTCCCTCCAGTTTCACCCTTGTCAGATGAGGGCACCCATCAGACTGTATATGACCAGGGAGGACCCCCAAACTTCTACTCTAGTTGCCCTGACCCAGTGCCTGCCTCCTTACTCCCTTTAGAGACTGGAAGAGCTCCTTAAAACCTGCTAACAGTGGTTCCAGTGCTTGGTTCAGAGCTCTTGTTCCTTCCAAACCCCACTGTTCTGGCCCTGTACACTCATCCCTAACAGCGATCCTCCCCGATTGTCTGGCCCAAGACTTCATCCAGGTCCAGCTCTGGTTCCCGCTGTAGTATTTTCTGCTGCAGATCAGTGTAGAAGTCGACTCCCTCAGAGACTGAATGGAAGGCCTTGCCTTTGGGCTCATAGTAGCTGCTTATTTGCTGTATGAAGCACTGGTGGTGCTGAGGGTGATCCTTGAAGCTCCCATCGTATCCCTTGATGTGGTTCCTTTTGAACTCCAATATCGTCTTGGTGTAGGTATTGAGAGTGGTGACAGCAGAGGCCATGCAGCAGGTAAAGGAGGCCCAGGCCATGCTGCCAGAGACACACAGAAGAAGCACATGCTGTGAAAAGCCACGTAGGGTAAGGAACACCATGACACACCCCAATTCTCCCTGATTTGCCAGGCAGAATCTACTGGGCACAGACATGAACTAGAGTGACAAGGCTTACAGCATTACAGTTCTTAGGGGTTATCCCACCACAAGATTCTTCTTAGATCAGTGGGATAAATATTGGTCATCCCCATGACAGGGCAGGGAGTGACACAGGGAAAAGGGCTGCAGGAACATGTGTAACATCTGTAACTTCCAAGCTGTAGCAGGAGAGCACAGCTTGGAAGCAAGTTCTGTATTGCTGTGCTGCTCAGTGTCTCACTGCACATGAGGCTTGTCTACCTGAGCGTAACCAAATTGCCATCCTGGCATTTGATGTCCATGGGTGGCACATGGCACTGGAGTGTTTGAGAATCAATGTGGTCATCGTCAATACAGCATTAGAAATTGAACCTGCACTTTCCACGGGTACCTGCAAGGCTCATCCAATGTTTTTCAAGTCAGGTATGTCATGTCTGCTGTGCTTCACTGCTTTATCCTTTAGAGAAAGGCACACTGAGCCACCTGCTTTTCGCAGCTCCTCTTCCTGGCTCGCAGTACCGTGGTGTGCTGCCTGCTTTCCCTCCTTCCTGCACGTAGCACCTTCCTAAGAGGGCCTTGGCCTCCAGTGCAGCTGCCATTGTATGGCTGGGCCAGCACTGGAGAAGATGGTGTGGCTGCTGGTTGGGGGCTGAGCTGTGCTCACACCTTTAGGCACCTGTCTAGGCTCGGTGTTGCAGGAACAAACCCTTTGGCCCAACACGTGTTAATGAAGATGCCAAGCTAGCATGCAACTTGTTAAAATTGGAGAAAAACAAGGTGTGTTTGAGAGCACACATTACAAGTGTGACCCTGGCCTCTGCACACAGGAAAGAGTTGAGACTAAACAGGGCAAACCAGCAGAGGGGCAAGCCTAATTAGTCAGCAGGGCTGAAGGCAATTGTTTAGTGTGACCCCCTTGTTTTCCCAGTCCTTTGGTAGCTATTCATTTAAGTAGCTCAGCCATCATTTATTAAAACAGGGTGAGGCAAAGACAGGAGATTAGTAGTAGGAGAACCTTGGTACACCTGTCTTTGGAACACACAGAAGGTCAAGAAAGGAGGAGGAAGCGGGTGGCATGGCTGAAGCTCTAAAGGCTGAGGGGTGAAGATGGCTTCAGAGCTCACGTACTAGAATGCCCAGCCATAGTCCCATGTGTGTGGTCTCCAGTCCTCTGGTCCCAGATTAACTGTTGCCTGGAAGACTTGAGTGTACATCATGTGTGCCACCATCCCAAGGAGACCTGGACACAAAGGACAAAGCAAAGTTCCAGCAGGAGCCATAGCAGCATACTTCAGCCTTGAGTGGAAAAGCAGGCTCTCCAGTGCTGAGATTCCAAGACTACAGTAATACACTTACCTGACAGCACCGAGGAGACAGCAGCAAAGGCATTGAGCTTCATCCCACAGACAGGATTGCCAGTATGCAGAATTTCCACCATCAGGAGGATGAAGCTGATAAGCAGCAAGCTGATGTACAGCATCTCTGATCCCAGTGACAGCCACAGGATTCCTGCCAGGAATACAAGATGAAACCATGTTCAAGGAAGAGTACTCCCCTCTCTCAACCCAATCCTGAAAGGATGTCCTTTGGACAGAAGGGAACGAAGGAAAGCAGCAAACACCCAAAAGCAACCTCCCCAGCCTGTGAGCAAGGGTTCAATGGATGCTGTAGGGGACAGAGTGCATGTCACAGAGGATGGCTTGGCTCCTCTAGCATGGCACAGCTGAGGGGATCAAAAATGCCCTCTGTAAACAAACCAGTATTATTCATAAACAGGAAAGAGGAAAGCAAAGGGGAAAAGACAGGGGAAGCTGTTGACTATTAGCATAAAATCTAATGATCATAGATAGGCCACATTGAACACAACCAAGCTCTAATCACAACAAAAGCAAACAACTTTTAACCTGGCACTCTATTTCAGAACTATATGGTGCATCCATGACTGTCTGGGACATGGCCTCTGGAATTCAGGAAGCCTCTTGCAAGCCTGTATTTCTCACTGAAACCCCAATTAAAATGAAAGTACGTTCCTTGGTGTTGATATCCAGCCAGGGCAGTAACACTGACCGCTCACCCTGCTTTTTGAACAGAGTGCAGGTACTTTCATGCTGGGATTTTGAGTGGGATTTAAGTGATACCAGAGTCCACAGCTGAGCTGAGTTCTACAGCTTTGCAGTAAGAATTGAAGGAGGATGAAGAAAGGCACTCTGTAATGCTGGGCTGTAGAAAAGCACAGGATCCACTGAGGAAGAAACATTAATCTGACAAATGAAGCAGCACTGTGAACACTACTGTTAGCAACTATTAATGGCTGTAGAGGAGACATTCAGCTGGGGAAAAGGAGTGTGAAGAAAACCCTCATTAATGTGGCACTGACTTGAATACTCAACATCATTAGTGCCGTAGAGTCAACCAGCTCTTTAGCAGAAATAGATGAGCTGCATTCCCTGTTTAAAGGAGCTGGCTTGCTTGCTGCAGCACCATCAAGAAGAATATTTCATTAAAGGTCAGACTGTCAAAAGTATTCTGGAGGTTGCAGGCACCACACATACACAGAGACCCCTGCATCATTTTCCTTGTGAGTCCAGGCTTCCCACTGATGATGCGTAATTTGGTCTTGTAACGTTGCCTGTGTATTGTGGAGCTGCTCTGCACGCACGCAGCTCAGCCAGCCCATCCCACAATCAGCAGTCACACCCCCTTGTGCAGTGCTAACCCAGCCATACAATGGCACCTGCACCGATCGTGTTAAGATGATACTTTGTGCAGGAAGGGGTGAAAATGGTGCTTGCAAATTCCCAGCATTTATTACACCCTTGCTTTCAGGGTTTGAATGCTGTGACAGGCTCTGCACCCCAGGCCATTCCCTTCATATATGAACATCTTCTGAAATGACTCCAGCCTCCATCTCAGGGAATAGTTAGCAAGCCCACACCAATTGAAAAGCCTTCACTAAGTAGAATCTCTGTAGCATATGTACACTTACATCAAAGTATACTGAAGCTATCTGCAGGGTGATTTGAGACATGTGACAGTGACAGAAGGGGTGATGTCTCTACCCTAATGTAGTTTTGTATTTAATGAGGCAGGGACTTCACCTTGAAAGCATAACTTTCACATGTCCTGTTCACTTACCACAAAGTAAGAAGAGGTGATTCAGCTTCCAGATTCATCGTATTAGACCCCAAAACTGAAGCACTGAGTTAACATATAGCTTGTGTGGGAGGGACTGCCCTGAGGCTGCATCCATCCTCTTCCCCTTTACTACAGCAAGATGACAACCCTGGACCAGGAAACACTACATGAGACAAATCCCACCTCATACTGGAGCGACTCAGGTTTCTAGCACTGACTTCACAAATGGCAGTGGTTTATGTGAACATCTGGGAGGAAATCTTTGCTCTTTTAGCAACCACGAGGACAGGATTTCATACATGGCTCTTTGGGGACTAACCCTGCTGTCCCCACACAGGCAAAATGCTGCTGGTCCCCTGTCCCTAGGAGGCACACTGTGCAGATACAGTGAAATACAGGGATTTGCTCTTACCTCTCTCTGCTGGTGGTGAAAGCTCAATAAAGCTACGGCATTTCTCTTCTGAAACACAAAACCAAAGCTTTTAGTTTATAAAACAATGCAGGAACACAGGGGAAAAGAAAATCTCTTAATCTCACTCTCTTTTCAGTGCATACATCAATTAATCCCTGAATCTACCCATCAGACCTTCTCACCTCCGGCCTTTTTCTATCTTTCCAGACCTTCACTGAGGCAAAGGATGGGAAGGCAACATTTGCCTACAAAACTAGAAATGAGCTTTTCAGAAAAAAAAATCTTCAACAATTTGTAAATCTTTCTAGCCTCTGCTGAATATAAAAATCTGTTGCTACTCATTCACAACGTTACTGATGATCAGGTCTGTTAAGAGTGCAGATTGTAAAAGACTGCAGATCCATCATTTCTGCTGAATTCCCACACACCTTAATCTCAGAAGAGCATTTCTAGCCCAGCTTCTCAAAGAAGAAAGCAAAAAAAGAACTTCCCAAGTGAAATACTTTGTGACAGAGATGTAAGTCCCCCTTCTGTGGCAGAGACTCATACAGAAATATGGTCGTCAATCCTCACATTTTAGGAATGCTATTTCAACAAATTGTGTTAATATTTGCTTTGGCAAACTACTGTCTCAGCTGAGGGTCCATCATTATTATCTGTAAGTCTCTGTCCCTGCATACTGCATTACTGCATTTGAGGGTCCTGTCCTCCACTTGGCACAGTATTTTCTCCTAGACTTTTCCACTTCATGTAAGAATCTAATTTTCTTAATTTCTATCCCCAGTCCTAATCTTTCCAAATCTCCTGTGCTACTTCTGTCATCCACAGCTCTCAGGATGCTACCCAGTTTAGTGCCATCTGCGGTTCTCATTAACTTGCAATTTGCTACTTCACCTAGAACTTTAATGAGGATATTCAGTAATGGCTCATCTAAACTGATCCTGCGATTAGCCTGAAAATGAAATCCTTTCTCCAGCTCAACTCAAACTCCTTTTGTTCAGAGTAGTCCCTTCTTTGTTGCTTTTATTGTCTATGCAGTTGCTTCAAAGATGCACAGTAGTGGGTGGGTGATTTACAGGAAGCAGGAGACTGAGACTGACTGTGCTTCTATCCCGTGCTCTATCCAGTGTTCTGCTGCAATCCAGATGTTACATACTTTCTCTGTTCCTTCAGGCACTGGGGTTATTCCAGGACTGCCCAGTGAACAGAAAAGTTGTTTAGAGAAATCAGTCGAGGGATGTAGTTTCATTCCCACAAGCATCATGGAAACACAACCCAACCCAAATCAGTCCCAAATAAACACATCTCCTTTCACAGCCCTTCTGGAAATGCTCATAACAAAAAGCAGCCCACTTGTTAGGACATGAGAGTTTTAAGCACATTCCCTTCTGCTCCAACCCCTCCTTCTGTCTGCTTTTCTTCACCAGCTATTTATTTTCAGACTGACAGAAACAGAGATGAAAAATACTGTACTGGAAGGATGGCTTGGTTAAAGAAGGTGAGATGTTTGTACTTGGGCAGAGCTGAAGGGAGGGTGGTGGGCTCAGGGGCATGGTCCTGATGAAAGCGACTTTCATAATTCTATTTTTAGATACAAATCTCTGTGTTGGCCACCTTCTGGATTAGTTCTGATCCTTGATATGTGTGCCAGGCTGTAAAGGGCACCTGAGCACTGCAGAGCACCCACCTGTGCTGGCGTGGCACAGGTTTCAGCAGAAGGACTTGAGCAGGTCTGGGCAGGAACAAGTCAAGGGTGAAGGGAAGTACCAAAGGGTTCTAGTACAGGTTGCACAACCAGTCCCTGGCACTTCAAGATCTACAGTGCCAGTCCCACATGGTCAAAAATCACTAATGAAACCTGTCACAATATCACAAAAACTAAAAACAATTACAGTATTGCAGCTCTAATCCTCAGGTCAATTTACCTCCTAGATTTAGTTCCTTTGGGTTCAGATCCTCCAAGTTTTCTCTGTATCTGTATAAGGTAGTAATTCCCTTTCTCTGTTTTATTTATTTGGTTTTTTAAGAAAAACCCAGTCTCTGTTTAAAAACACAAAATTACTCAGTTTGATGATTTAAGAACACCAACTATTGTAGTCCTCACAGTGATAAATAACAATTATCATCTGCATAAAATCACTGTACTTAGATTTCTGAGAGGACATGCACAAATTTACCCTGAAGAGCACGAAGTAAGCTGTGTATAAGAATGGGTATATGGGGAAAGGGGGCTCATGGAAATTCCCATAACAATGGACAGTGCCATCACAAAGTCACTGGCACCACCACCATCACTTGCACTTCACAGGCCCTATTCCACACCAAAGGGCACACCAGAGACAACCACTCTCCACTTCTCTGCTCTGTGAACATTCCAGTGAAGGACAGAAATACATTGACTGCACCAATGCATAGGGCTGATACCACCTAGGAAAAGGAAGAATACTTCTCTCCCACGTGTTCTCAGCCTTCCACCTTTCAGTTTCAAACTTCTGTGGAGTAAATACAAGGCAATAAGTTGTGGCTGCCTGAGCAAAACACTACCTGGCCCTTCCATGCTCTCTTCACAGGAAAGCCACATCCCTGTGTGGAAGTATCTGAAGGCAAAGCGGTCATCTCCAGTCTCCCAGCTGTAGTGCACTGTGTCCTCAGACGAAGCATTGCTGGCATCTGCATCAGATGGCATGGGGACACCCACGCACTGGGAGGCTTTGCTCTTCCCACACAAAGGCTTGGGTACTTTCTGGGTCCCGGTGCACCAGTAGCTGCCCAGCAAGGCTGTGGTGGAGAGGGTGAGAGCCAGCAGGTTCAGGATGACAGCCAGGAAAGTACGGTGCAATGGCAGTCCCTTCAGCAGCTCCATCTACAACACACAAACAGGTGAGACCGTCACACCCGGCCACTTGTCCCACATGGCCTTATGAATCCCACCTTTTCTCAGCATGCAGCTGTGGGGAGGGGTTATGAGCACTCTGCCCTCCTCACAACATCCCAACAGCTCACCCAGCATGGAAGAACCATTCCTTGAAAGCCAGGGCAGTGGACCTGGTCAGCTTCAACCATTTCAAAGTATTCTGAACATCTGTACTGGGGAAGAGAGGGTGACATAGCAGGGCTGAGTGCATTGAGGTGTCTGAACATGGAAGCAAAATGAAAGGAACATCACTTTCATTCATCTCAGAGATGACAGGGAGAAACTGTTAACCAACTTCCCTGAATACCACGTGTTTCCTTTACATGAGATACAACAAATGCTCTCTCCAACTAAATGAGAAATCTTGCTGCCAAGTGTCCCAAAACAGTTTTTCAAGCAGCTCATTACTGTACCTAGGGAGGTAGAAAGTATAGTGATTTCTCAGTGGGAAAAGGCAGGAAAATGTTCCCATATCACTAAAGGCCATACATCAAAGCAGTGACCGGCTTAGAGAGAGCACCCGGCCATCCAGAGCTGGTATCTTAAGTAAAAGCCACAGAGCAGCACCTTCCACCTGATCTCTCATCTGCACATCAGAAATTTGGTAGCATCGTGGGGTGGCAGCATCTTTGCTTTCACACAAAGTGCCAAAGGTTTTTTCCCTATAAGGGTGAATATTGCCACAAACATTCTTACTGATTTCATGCCATCATGTAAAGTAATTCACAAAGAATTACTGAAAGCAGTAAAGAAAGAATTAAAGAAAGCAGTTTGTGAACCAGGGACTTTCTCACTCAGAGGGAAGATGAAGACTTCAGGGTTCCTGCAAAACCCTGCACTGACTCCTGAGAACCCCAAAATATCACTCCATAGATTGATTAGATGTCATCTACCCACACATCAACTTTCATGTAATCAATGCATGTCTCTTCCCACGTGGCACTCCCTATGTTTGGCACAACTTCATCCAGATACTCCCACCCTTTCCTATTTATGACTCTGAAAATCTATTTACCCATGAACAGATTCAGTTTGCACAGACACTGCCTGCTGCAGGTCCTCTTCACTTAACTTTGGCTGACTCACCCAACGCTGAACGTGTGAGAAAGACCAGGCTGTGGACATCACTATAAATAAACAATACAGGACCCAGCTTTGCATTGTCTGTGACTGCACCACAGATAAAAGTGGTGCAGTTAGAATGATTTTTTCTTCTACCCAGCAAGCTTGGAAACACAGTCAACAAAGGCAGTGATGAAGCTCCTCTTGAAAAGCAGGACCTTATTAGCATCTCATCACACTGAGAAAGCAGTGCCTGACCCTGAAAACCCTCATTGAAAGCAAGAAAATACTCTGCTCCTGAAATTTTCCTATATGGTTTCATACTCTGGCTTCTTTCGTCTCTTCACCAGGACATTTCTGTCTGCACCCTGGAGATGGTAACATCTTAGTGATGCCATAACTAATGGCTTTCATGATTAGAAGGCGTGTAGAATATCACCATTTTCAAAGAGAGGACACCTACTAGGAAGAGTTTCTGGCTAAGATAAATGGCAAACTTTTCACTGAAAGTTTTTTTGGTAGAACGTTTGGCTTATGACTGAAAAGGAAGTTGAAGACAAAATTGCTTTTTTCAAAACCACAGTTTTTCACCTGAAAATTGAAACCTTCAGCACACAAAGTTTTTCAGTTTTTCATCAATGCTTAATTATAAGATTTTCTGTCATCAGGTTTTAGGTTGCTAATGCTTTTATTTAACAAAAAAAAATTCTACTCACAATATTTACAAAACTCATCTTTCTAATTTAAATCTTCAGTAGTGGGAAAAATATTCTCTCCAGCTGATTTATGACAGTAGTTGAAAGGCCGTATAATTTCAGGAAGAGTGTTAAGGAAAAGACATAAAAAGTACAAGAAACAAATGAGTCAGAAGTAGGAAGTGGATCAAGGATGCAGAAGACATATGGAATGAGAAGCAAATCTGAACTATTTCCTGAAAACATTGTTAGAAAAGCTTCCTTCCACAAAAGCCAACTCACTGATAGCAACCAACCATAATATCTAGATAGCCCCAAAAGTAATGATAGTTGAATTTACCTTAGCAGCAAGTCTTTGAAGTCCTGTTAATTTGGATGAACAGCACAGAAGTGGGACTCACGCTTTGTCTGCTGTTTTGTTCATCTCTATATCCTCCAAGAAACCAATTGCTGCAAAATCCTTTCCTCCTTTGTCTGGTCCCCTCCCCTTCTCCTCGCCAGTAATTATTAAATGCTATCCTTCTGATCAGCAGCTGTTTTGTGGAAAATGGTTATTTTGTAATCCACAATGCAATCACAGCACAGCTGCTCTGGGAGATTATATGGGAAGCGATTGGTGCGGCGGGTTGGGATTAAGTGCAGAAGAGTGATCTGTATTAACTGAGTAGGAAGTTTCTTTAAAACCCTGAAAGATTCCAGACATCCCCATGTCGTGGCTATTTGGGAGCTTGTATGGAGGAAGATGGCAGCTTTGGCCAATGCTACAGGGAAGGAGTGGCCTTAGCTGGGAAACTGCCAGCACCCTTGGCATCAGGTCACCCTTTTCATGTTACACTGTCTCAGGGGAATGGCAAAGACCAAAACCATCCTAGCTCTAGGATGTCTTCCTGGCCACACCTGATAGCTGCAGAAAGGTCAGCATAAAAGAAAAAATGGGGAAAGTTTATGCAATTGCATCTGCTCTGAGGACTGAGGATTTCAGTCCCTGAAGAGATACCAATACAGCTCTTCCCATGGGCACTGGAAATTTTGATGCCAAAAGGAGTCCCTTAGCAGAAGAGCTGCTGAGTGGCAGACTGACACCATGGCATCACTACCACAAAGGGGGTATTTGAAACTGCAGCAAGTCAAGCCAATAGTCAAAGGAGAAAGCCAATAGCATAGGAGAATGAGGTAGATTGCCAGTGTCACTTGTAGTGGCATCTTTCACCAAAATATGAAGGTCACTGGGAATCCCAGCTGGTTCACATTGGATGAATTTCAGAACCTAGTAAGAAGTGATGGAAATTCACATTGACACAAAGTCTCACAAGTCTGAGCTCTTGTCCTGAAAGTTTAAAGGCTCTCAAAATACCTGTGTGGTATCAAACCCATGAAAAGTAAGAATGACATCACGTCTCATGAGAATGTACTATACACCCTGGAGCAGAGCTGCACTGAATCAAACTGCGAGGGAGGGGAACATCCCAAAGGAATACACATCCTGTCTTCCCCACAAACTCTTTGCCCAGTGCCAAGCAGGTGAAACTCGTACCACCACTGGGAGGGAACGAGGCAGATTCCCTGCATGCTGCTCCGCCAAGACAGAGGAAACCAGTGGTCCATCCATTGTCATCCCCCGTGTCCAACACCAGAGCGCAGAGGCTGGAGCAGGTGCAGGAATAGCTCTGGGTGACAGCACAGCCTGTGACAGCCCCACAGAGCACGGGCAGCAGACGGAGAAGTTCACGGTCCAGCACATGGGCTGTGCTGTGCCGGGCTCCTGACCCTTCCTGCCCTGAGCAGAATGGGCAGCAGCTCCGTGGTTATTTAATCCCAGGCACTGCATAAACTCCTCTAATATAGATAAGCGTTTCTAAGACGGACTAACTGAAAGCAATGCTGGATGTCCCTGTGCTCCATGGACCGCCTGCAGGTTTTTGATTAATAAAAAGGTTCTGTTTGAAACAGATGTACTTAATTTACTGGAGTAGGTAGAACAACAGCAGATGCCATTTAAAAGGAGAGTGATTTTTTTTTTTGCTTTCTTTTTTGCAGTCTGTCCGCATCTGGACACCTTAAATTTAACTTCTAAATGCTTGGTTAAAAAAAAAAGAAGACTGGCTTACGAGCTCAAGAATAAATAAAGTCCATCTCTACTGATAATCCTTAACACTTTCCTAATTTTAGGCTTGGTTAGAGTATCATTAAAACCCAAGATTCTCTGTGAGTTTCTAAAGCTGAGTTCCTGGCATATATATCAATGAAATAAAACTAAATTAATTTTATATTAATAAGAATTCTTGTTGGGAAATAAATTGATCAGAAATATCCTATGGTTTAAAAAATATGCTTGTAGCAGATTTAGTATTCTGAATAATGGTAGATATTTATCCTTCCAGAAGATGGCAATCTTTCTCTAGTCTTCCTTTTGGGAGTGTCTGCTGCTCACATGTATGCTGGGGGAAAGCAACACCAAAGTTTAAACGTCTATTCTTTCCCTTGAAATTCCTCCCCCCATCCCCTTTTTTCTTTTTTTTTTTTTTTTTTTTTAACGTTTTGATGAACACAAACTCTTTACCTTGACTCTGAAATGGGGCGTGGGTCCGTCTCTTAGAATTAGCTGAGTATGGGAACACTTGAAATCACTGGGGGAAAAAAAAAAGGAATGATTGCAGGAGTTTGGCTTTTGCTCACCTTTGCTGCCCTGCGTGAAACTATTCTTTCTAACACTTTTCACAATATTTTGTCAAGTATCACATTAAATTTCCCCAGATTACTGCGCACAACTCATGGAACACCAACACCAGAGCATGTTTCCTGATGTTCAACAAACTCCCCTTCACAAAATTATGGGGATTTTATCTGGTTTTGGTTTGGATTTTGGTTGGTTGGTTGTTTTTTTAACATTTTTTATATTAACCTCACCTCAATCTGACCTATTATAGGCAGAAAAATCATCTGTATCTGTCTTTCACCCTGCTGTGCCTTCAGTTTTCCCCTCTTTGTATCTGATATTTCCCACCATAATTTGGCTTGGCTAGAGACTTTGGATGTCTCTTTCTCTTTGAACTCAGCAGCAGCCAGTCCCTGGTGACTCGTTTAAAATTCGTCCATTGAAGTGAATGCCCATAGCAGTTGATTTCCTGTGCAATCAGCCAAATGCTTGACTTATAGAAACAAAACAAGGAAACAAAATGCAAAACCCCCAAAACTGTCACACAGCACCACTGTGGAGATTGCCAACTCTAAAGAAGCTTGGGTTGAAAAGTGATGTATTTTTATCCTGGCTCTATCACCATCTACACCCTGGTTTGGGTGTATCCTGCCCCAAAGTGACAAATTCAACTCCCAGGGATGTTGGTGGAATAGAAGGTCAAGGAGACCTTGCCAGATAGGGCCCAAAACTTGCAGTATTTTACTGGTGGCTCTCAAGAGGCACGCAACTCCCCATACCCCCCATGCAGTGATGCTCCAGGGACGTCAGGGACCATTTGGTGTCCTGACACTGGCTCTTCAGCTGACCTGAAGAGGAAAGCACAGGAGGAAGGGTGGCTATTTACACCCACAGAGAGTTGCTCTGTGAAAACTGGACAAAGACAGGCTCATACTCACCCCTCATTCCACACATTCCTCGCACATGACACTTCCCACCGCTCCTGTTTTTGCTGTTTTTACAGGAAGATCATTCGGAGCCGCAGTCCCCTCCCTTACTGCCGCGCAGAAAGCAGGATGTCTCCCGAGTGACAGTGACATGGAGAGAGCCAGACTTCTCAAACCCAGTGACAGACTGCAAATGCCAGATTTCTCCCTGAGCTCTGAATAATTCCACTCAGATTGTAACCTTTATTTAGCTGTTTGCATGATGCATTAACTCTTGCTCTGAAAATGACCTCACCAGGCATATTTTTTTCTAGTCTAAGCACATTTAAAGGTGAATTCTGTTTTTAAGATGATCAGCTTACATTGCTAGACACTGAGACTGCAGCATTAATAAAGATTGAACTGGACTAAGTAAATGCATCTTAAAGATGGACAAACAAGTCAGTCAGTTTGGACCTAACTAATTTTTTTTCCTTCTTTTTTTTTTTTCTTGAAACAAGTGTTAGTTGGCTGGATTTTTTTCCTTATCTTTATGGTTATCAGGCACTCAAAAACCACACAGAAAGCAGACATGAAAAGGAAAAAAATCAGATGCAGCAACAAAGACTTTGAGGACTCACTAGAGATTCTAGGTGCCTCAATTTCTGGATAGGAAATATAAGACTATATATTATATATAAGGCTAGGGGGTTGCTTTTCACAGAGTACTTAAATTCTAGGATGTGTTCACCAGAGCACAGAAAAAAATAGTATTTAGGTAATTTAGCTAACCATAACTGTAAACAGACAAGAAAATCACAAATTTATACATAGATCTATAAGGATATTAAAGAGGTGCCAGTCCAGAAAAGGGTCTTTTGTACTACAAAAGGTACAAAACTTCAAGCAGATAAATGCTTACCTTATCCACTGCTCACTATTCCCATCTGCTCTTCTGAGGCATCCAGTGAAATACTACAAGGTGATCATGGATTCACCCCCCTGTCTTTGTGTCTAACTGAGCATGTAGTAGCCAAGAAATTCCATGAGATCGGATCAGACGCTTTGAAATGTACCAAGTCTGTCATTTTATTGATGGTTTAATTCTTTCAGAGCTCGCTAAATCATCACAGCACATTATATCAGCCACTAGATTGGCAGGGCGTCCACTTCTGCAGAATGAGCCTTTGTAATTTGGTAGTCCCCTCTCTGAAAATTGTTGCTACTTTTAAATCTACCAGTGACAAGATCTCAGTCTGTTACTACTCAGAATCACAAACACCCAAGCCCAATGACTACCACAGGCTCCTGAGGTTTTTTATCATCAAGAGGAACCATTGTAACAACACAGTCTCCTCTCAGATGTAACAGACCCCAAATGACTTTGGATAATCACTTCTAGTCATACACAGAACTCCTACCAGAGCTATAGCACATATTTTATACAACTATCTCGTACTGACTGTGCAGCAGAATATGATGGAGAACCCACCACATCCTTAGAAAAGTTATTCCAATGATTAATTAATTTAATTCTTAAATTTTTGCTCTTGCTCTGTAAACAGTGTCTGCTTTAGTTTTCCAACCTGACCAGGCTGCTCCAACACGCAAAAAATACCCAGTGAAGTGATTTCCAAAAAAAGTTATTGTAAGAGTCACAAATCAATGTGTTTCATTAGAGGCACACACTGTGATCTAACCAGCTGGCTGGTGGCCCAAATTCCTAGTTCTGTACTTGGCTCTGACACATCATTTTCCCCTCCCATCGGCCAAGTCATTAGTGGTGCATTTACACTGCAGTCAAAGCAGTGGCAGTGATGGGGAGTAAACATTCAGTGCTTGTTTTAATTGGGTGTTGCTAGGAATTTCACTCCAGCAGTATGGAGCACAATGCAGGGTACAAACCTAAGTCCAGGAAAGGAGCAAACTGTGCTAAGCTCCACACGGCTATGGCTGGATTGATAGTTTAAAGTAGCCCTTGTTTCCACACACTGTGGAGTTGGGTCTTTGGAGTCATTCCCACAGATGCAAATCTACAGCACAGGGGATCCTTTCTGATACTGGAATCACCACAAAGACATTCTGTTTTGGTCATGAAAAAATTAGAGGACCTAAAATTAATCTGTGCAGAGAGTACCTCACACAGATGCAGATCTTGGACTCAAGTATACGTTGAATATGTTTTAAAGAAAAAAAAATATTTGAAACAATTGCGCTTTGATTTCACTCATGGAAATGAGAAAGCGAAAGCAATTGTTCTTTGCTTCAATTTATCTTTTCCTCCACTTCACCATGGGGAATCAGAATAAGCAGAGTTAGGGGAAGCCTCCAAAGATTATTTAATCAATCAATCTGCATCACTATGACCTTAGCACCCTGAAGAACTTCAAGCCTCCTGTTAAAATTTTTTGTGAGGGAGATACCACTCAGTCCTGGAATACAGTCCTTTGTACTATCTTATTTTTCCAACCAAAACACAATGTAAACCAGAAAACTTTTCTATCTCTTCCAAATGCCATGGTGTCCATCCCACATCTCATTTATTTATTCACATGGATTGTCCTCTCAAGGCCATTGGAGCTACATAGTTCATTAAGGTTCTACTCACATGCTAGTATTTGAGGAACCAGTGCCTCAAACGAAACATCTAAGCTAGCAGGAAAGGTTTGGAAATCTAAAAGAGTGAGTAAGACAGAGAGTTAGCTTTTTTAAGGCAAGGCGTGGGAGGTGTTTTCGTTCTTTAGCTATTAAAAACTCCTTGCTTTGACAAGAGAAAAAAAAAGGGGGGGAGGAAGAGAAAACTGGGAGGGGAAGGATTAGTGAATAAAGAGGCAGCATGGCAAGTAATGCAGTAAGCATGGTGGCCAGAAGGCACGAGCGAGTGTCTCAGGCTGGGTTCCCTGACAGAGCAAGGGTGCTAGCAAGCACAGGTCAGAGCAGTCAAGGTCTAATATGCTGTCTGAAGAGAATAATGAGACCAGCTTTCCTTACAGTGCTGAGCACAGGCGTTTTCTTACAGTGGGTGCTTTGAAAACAATCAAGCTAGATGTTACAATTGTGCCTTTTGTCTTTCTGGATATCCTGATAATTATCCAGGATTGAGGGCATCTCCTTTTTACCTCAGATTTGATGAGGATTTGGGATTCCTCTCCATTCCTTTATGGCATTCTGGAGCTGTGGCTTCACAGACAGTCCTGCTGTCAAATCCCATCTCCATGGCTCATGCCTCCCGTGGTGGGCAGCACGCTGCAGCCACCTGTGCTCCAGGGAGGAGACAGGTCAGGACAGGGCAGCAGTGACACCAGTTTGGGAGGCCCAGTGGGAGCAAGGAATGCCAGGATCAGATGGTATCACTGCCATGGACATGGGGTGGATACAGCACGTGTATGCTGTGCCAGGGGAGTTTCAGGGCACCCAGGCTTCCCTACAAGTCCTGAGGGAAAGGAGTGCCCCAGTGGTTGGAAACAAAACACAAAATATTTTGGAGACAGCCAGCAGAGAAATTGGGCGTCTGCCTCTCTTTTGCTGTATTTTTTTTTTTTTTAATTGGCTTTCTTTAGGTTTGGTGTTTTTTTTTTTTTTTTTTTTTTTTTGTTTTCTCTCTCCTCCTCTCTCCACACTTCCCTGTTTCCTCATAGCCGGGTTTCCGCATGCCCAGGTAACCCCAGTTCCATGCAAGGGCCAAGGACATCAGTTCCCAAGGGTGACCCAGCCATGGAAAGGAGGGGCCAGACACAGTGACAGCATCCTGGCCCAAGGGAGGCCAGAACAAGGTAACCCTGCAGCCACTGCCAGGGGCCTTTGTGCAAGTACACTATAACCTGGGTCTTAAACGATGTGCTATTTTTTCCATCAGACTCACAGTTAAAAAACAAAACAAAACAAAACAAAAAAAAACAAAACAAAAAAAAAGAAAAAAAAAAAAAAACAAACACAACAACAACAAAACAATCCTTCCTAGCCCCCATTATTCCCCATTATTTTTTTCTGAGCAGGCCCAAGCTGCAATATCTCAAAACCTTATTATTTAGGAAACTTTGCAGGGACCTTTGTCATATATGACAAAAGATCTGTTTCTGACAGAAAAAGTGTGATTTATTTTAATGCAAGACATTGCTCAAAATGTGGTTTGTTGGGTTTTTTTAAAGAAAAAGTAATTAGGATTTTTAAAATGTGGATAAAACAGAATGTTCCCCTGCCAGCCTTGTTCTCAAGAAATAGCAAAGTGGTCATGACTGAAATTAAAAACAAAAACAAAAAGAGCCCTATAAAACTACTGAAGCAGACATGAGTTAGATGATGTTGGTTTCAAGTCTGGCAAAGGCAAAAGCAGCCAAAGCCAGACCTTGTGATGGAGTGTGTCAAGTGACTGTTATGAGAAAGAGGCAACACCACCAGCAATGTCTGCTGTGCTCTGTGTACCCATTAACATGCTAATTTCAACTTCAGTCTTTTCCAGGTAGCCAAGGACTATTATTGCTGAGCTTTACAACTAAGCATTAAGCATTGTGGCTAAACAGCTTGACTGAACAAGAATTATTTGCCATCACCTGGACAAGGTAAGCAAGAAGGCAGGAGAATCCAGCTAGCATGTTACCACAGGCAGAACTTAAAGAAATTAGGTCAGGCAGAATGGAAAAAAAAAACTTCAGAAACCTCTTCCAAACAGTGAAAAGTAGTCCCCTGTGGTACAGTTTCTCATGGGAAGCAAGGGAAGCAGGCTGGATAATGCACTGGAAAATGTATTGCAGGCAAGAATCTTGCAGGAATTGGGCTAGTCTAGAATGTAAAATAATGGACTGGATGAGCTAGCAAGATTTTCCAATCTCTAATTTCCATGGTTAAAAAATTGCCACAGTTAGCATTGCTTGAAATTCCTTCACATGAATTACAGAATCTCTGAGTGAGGCAGAATATGAGGCTGGAGCAAGAGAGGTGGGTGTGTTTCCTGGATGACACAAAGGAGAAAAAAAAAAGAAGTCTTCAGCCTGGAACAGGCTATGAAACTAGGAGACTGGCTGGAGAGAAGAGAAAAGAACACAGCTCGGAGGGACTGCTCCCACCAGGCTGAAACATGGGTGAGATACACTGAGGACAGCATGGTGACGATTTAGGGGCTAGGTCAGTGGTAAAGAGGGTGGCTCAGAGGGAGCAGTGACACTGC